TCTGCTTAGCAGTTTTCTTTCCCGGTTTGGCAGCTTAGCGGTAAGTCCGGCCCCATGTCGACCCCTGAGGTCACCCTCCTGCCTCTCTGTCTGTAAAGCGCGGCAGCGTCAGAGATTGCCCCGTTCTCCGGACCCTTCCAGGAAGGGCTCCTCCGGCCGAAGGGAGGTAGGGGAGACATCCCTATCTCCCCCGGTTCCTCCGTCCTTAGCCCTGGCCAAACTGCTGGGACACTGGCCCTTTGGCCCTGGCTACTGACCTCAGATATTGAGCATGGGGAATCGAAATCCCAAACCTGATCCCAGCACACCTCTAGGGTGCCTGCCTGCCAACCTAGCTAAAAACTAGGCCTGTCCCAGGATCTGTGTCCTAAACGCCTTGTTTATTTCTGTAACATAGCATGGCCTCAGTATGAATTGGACAACGGGTCCAGATGGCCCGAAAACGGGACCTTTGACTTTACCATCCTTACCGACCTCAGTAATTTCTGCCGACGAACCAGGAAATATGCCCAAGCCTCTCTCTCTGTCTGCGTCCCGTCCCTTCCCCCAAAAGCCCCTTCCACCTCACCGTCCGCTCCCTCTTCCCCTCCCTCCACTACCCCCCTCCGGCAATGCCTTCTCCTCTACCTGCTGACCTCCCCCCTCTTCCGCCCGTGGCTGAGGCCCTGCAGGAGCCGGAAGCTCAACTTGCCAGGCGACCCCACCCTCTCCCACCCCCGAGGCCACTGTAGGAGCCGGAAACTCAAGTAGCCAGGCAACTGCTCCCCCACCCCCGCCTGCTTCCCCAGTCAGTAAACACAGGCGTTCGCCGGCCCCTCCTCCCCTCTGTCCCCCCACCCCCCTACCTGGGAGGTTGCAGCATCTGAGGGTGATTGAAAAGCGGCTGGGGTCCTTCTCTGCCACCATGTTCATCAAGGAATTTCGATACCTATCCCAGGCCCTCCCAGGATCATTCATTTCCACCTCTCCCGCTCCCGCCCCCCCCCCCCCCCCCCTCCCCAACCCTGCCAAAGGGTTTCCACCAAACAAATCAAAATGTCACTTCTTCCCATGGCCTGCAAGCTGCAAGGCCCAAGCAGGTAGCACTTGCCCTTCTAGGTCCTCATGCCCTACATTCTCTCCCTCATTCCACACTCTGACCACACTGGCCATACCTCACTCTTACTCAAATACCAAGTATAAGTTCCCGTCTCAGAGGCTGGCACTTGTTCCCTCTGCACATAATGCCAGAGCTC